ATGATCTGCCAATCGAGTTTGGTGGGATTTTCTGCGACCAGTGAGTTGGAGAGTGAAGGACCTGCAGTTTTGTACTGAGCCACGCCAACGGTAACTTACTGCTATCTGGTCGATCTAAGTTAGTGTGCTAATTGAATTTGAGCGCCACGTTGCTGTCCGTTGAAAGCTCTGTCGGAAGTCGGTGCTGGATAGGAACAGATAATGGTCTGCGCAGAACTGAAGAAGTCGATCGCTATTATCTGTTTGCTGGCAGGGCAGAGCACAATGACCGCCTAGGCAAGATTCCGATGCGCTCAGTTTTCCAACTTGAGCGCTAAAATCACCTGCGAGAACAACCATTTCGGAGCTTCGGCTCAACCGAATGAGTTCGGTGAGTTTATCATAAAAGTCATCCTTTTGTGCGTCAGAACTGCAGTTGGTCGGTGCATACGCTGAAATAATGAATAAACACCTTTTGGTGTTGCTCCCCTTCCGGATGCTGATAGACCCATGGAGCCGCATAGCACATAAGCGGCTGTTGACGGGGATCCAATCGAGTAGTGCGGCTTCGGCTGTATTATTCAGTACAATGCCCACACCACGCTGGCCTACTGAACGGGCTTCGGCATCACTTGACGTGCGGAGGAGGAACCTCGAAGACAACCCCGGTGCACATAAGTGGCATATAGTACTAGGATCCTGGATTCGAGTCTCCGACGCGCAGCAGACATCAATCTCCAAAGAGTCTATTGTACGCGCCGGACATGCTTGTTGACTTACCTGCATCAGAGTCCTCACGCTGAAGGCCCCCAGATTCAGTGGCTGACGAGGATTCAGCATCTACAATCTATTTTGTGGTAAAATACTTACCGGGCTACTTGGCAACGAACTTTGGCGAGTGACGAAGAAGTTGTCTGAGGGAATGTTACGGGTTGGAAGAAGGGGTAAACAGCGAGGGTTAGATACGGAAGACGAAGGTTGGGATTTCTGAACAGCAGCCCACTTACCACTACTCACCCCGCTCGATGAAATGAGCAGCGCGGTCCTGATTATCCTGCGCGACGACAGATGCAGTATGGAATTATTGTTTGTTTGTGTACGCATTTGAGTTTGATTGAGCGGTACTGTCAGGGTGTTCAGCCACTAAGCAGGAGAACGATTAGGGTTATCGTCCAAAGCCTTTGGTTCTGTCAAGAACCCGACCGCAAGGGAGCGGGTAAAGCGAAGTAGAGGCCTATTTACTTGGATCAATTACTCCTCTACCATTTTACCGACTGAGACGCTAACTCGAGTCGAACCCCCAATTTGGAGGACCAGGAGAGTGGACTTCGCCTGACCTCTACCCATTGACCTTCCAGGTATGATTAGATCTGCGGCTTGACAAAAGCTCTTTGGGTCAAAGAGGTGCACAAGCCATCACACCACGTCAAGTTGCAGTCTCGTCGTGATGGGTGTGTAACATTGTAGTAGTCTGTGATAAGAAAGCTTATCTGAACACAGTTCTAGAATCGATAACGACAAATAAATGAAACAGGTGATCAACTTACCTTTATCCTTTACAGAATCCTTCCTCCTATCAACGGTCGGTGCCATCGATGACCCCTCATTCTGATTTGACTGAACTAGCGTGGAGTCTCCATCGCCTGGTTCGGTTGTCATTGTCTCATTGGTCGAGCGAATAATACTGTCATCGGAAGCCGTCTGTGTCTTCTTCATCTCACTGGGCGGAAATCCGTCTGCTGTGAAACGGGACAGAAATAATATAAAGCATTGCGAGCGAGGTTAGTGATGGTGCCTGAATGGGAAAGATCCATGCAAATACACACACACACACACACACATGTGTGTGTGTGTTAAGTCAACAAACGATGTGCTCATTTTTAAACCTCAATTGAAGCACAGTTCACAGAAAAAAATTGTACAATCCAGAATGAGTTCTACTAAAAGTGGTGTTACGTCCAACTTTGTAAAACTAGAAAGAATACAACGAAGTATATGAGAAACGTCCTGTGGTTAAATTGTAACTGAAAGATTGGCAACCAACTGACGCACTATCCACAAAAGCACTACATATACAGCAGCGCCATCTGTGACACTCATTNNNCACCGTTTACCCGACTGTTACAAAGCACTATATCAATGGTGCCTAAAGTACAGTATTTATGCATCGTTTGCTCTTGACGACCATGTCACCGAGGCGCAGATAGATAAGAAAAACGAGCGTTATACAGGTGCTATAGCTGAATCACATTGGAAAAGGGAAAACAAGATCACCGCTCCCTTGGAGATTACTATTCAGATGAGTATCAAATTATTGTTTCTCAGCAGCCCTATATAGACCTCTACAAAACACACTGTGGCGTTTTACGCATTGAACTGCGTCTAGTTG